CTCTCTTATGGGGGGGGCTCATTCCTCCTGAGCTGCCCTGTAATTCGAACCCTAGCTCTATGGTGTGAAGTGTGGGTTCGTTTTTTTAAGAGTATTATGAAAAGTTGTTTGTTATAAATACCAGAGACTCTTTGCAGAGTTTTTCCCACACAGCAAAGTTAAGTGGTTTCATTATTGCTTCTCATGTTGTTTCCTCACGACAAACTGTTGCTTCCTTAATTGGTGTACATAAGCACATACCCAAGTGAGACTTTTGCAGGCCTGACCTCTAGCTTTATCCTTTGTTGCAAGTTTTTGTCTAAAGGTAATTCTGATGACTGCCCTGCTTGGTGGGCACAAAGGTATTGAGGAGAATTTGATGAGATGGTCAGAGTTCTGGAGCTCATTTCTGTTGAAGAATATGCTTCTATAGGGGCTTGTTGGGCCTTGTCTCTGTGTGAGAAGGGATGAGGCTGGGAAATCCATTGCTATTCAGATAGCCTGGTTGTTTTTCACCATCAGCTCTGCAAATGGTTACAATGTTAGTGAAAGCTACTACTTCCAGTGTTGCAGCTGTGACTGAAGTCCCCTGAATTCCCTCAGATCTTCCTTGCATAAAGCCCATGCTGTTGACCTGTGTCCATAGATGAGGTTTTGGCTACATTTTTAGAAATGTAGATTATGGCCATAACTCTGTTTGTTTTGTTTGTTTGTTTGTTTGTTTGTTTGTTTGTTTTTAAGACCTGGTGCAAATTCTCATGGTGCTGCTTAAATCAAACAACTGTTACCATGTTGTTCTTCATCGACTTGTTACCATTTCCTAGCACCCAGGGATGTGGTAGTCAAGACAGAGATGTCAAGATACAGGCAGGCATCTGTCTTGTTTAGAGAGCGCTGCAGAAGAAACATCAGCTGGAGATCTAGAAAGAACAGGGATTTGAACTGGGGAGCAGGAGCCAGATAAGAGCAGAGATGCTACTGAAGTTTTTCAGAAGCAAAAGAAGCTTGCTGTCCAGAAGGTGCACATTTATGTATGTAAAAATGACCTGGGAACCCCGATACATAAATAGCCTATGCTGTGCCACATCAGGTTAGACAATTCTTTATTTGCCCCACTCAGAACCTTGCAAAATAGCCCCTTTGTTAAATACATGCTTCCTACAAAACCCTTATTCTAACATAGGAACGAGGTAATGCATTTTGGTTGAAGAATCTGTACCTAGCTAAAATTTGAGGGTACATTTAAATTGATTCTCATTGTATATAGAATCGGACTGGTAGTTTGTCATACTCTCTCATTTCCTGACGCTTTCTGGGCCTGTTTAATATATGAATGGGGTGCTGCATACATACCTAGGGTTTGTATTGAAATGTATAGGTCTGGTAACAATAATTAGTCATAAAATAATTTTTGAAGAATACATAAAATGTACATACTGAAATTTGTAAGGTTCTGTTTAAGTGTTAGTCTATTTCTTGCACCTGTTGAAATACTATTAAATTAAAATTTGTTAGAATACTGATCTTTACCTTTAAGGAGTCAAAATAAACATGAAGTCTGCTAAATTTTACCCCTTGCAGTTCTTAAAACATTAATATTAGTACTGAATGCTTCTTTCAAAGTCCCTAGTCTTCCTGGTCTTCAGCGATCCAGATTACACTAATCTAACCTCAAAAGACATTCAACCTCAAAAGCTTGCAAAAGACATTCCTAAAAACATTAAAGTAATAATTCATGGAAGATACATATATGTATCATAGACGTCACAGGAAATAGTTTCCAAAATTTAAATACAGGACTTGGTGGCAAAAAGTCTCATTTCATACTGTCACTGTCCATGGAGTCTGATACTTTATACCTGTGTGTAGTCTCAAACATTTTAGTCTAACTTGGTTGAAATTTATCACTCCAAGCTGTGTACAGTAAGATAATTGCAAAGGTACCTCAAAAGCTTATACCGTTTACGTACTTGTATTTTCCATAAAGTATAAGGATTCGGTCTAATCTGTTTTTGACACTTTTTCTTGTTTGGGAGGTTAGTAAGTGATGCAGTGATGTATATGTATGTATTTTATAGAAATAGCAAATGAAAACGTGACTTCCTATGCAAAGCAAATAGCTAGTATATAATGTATTCTCTAATGCAGAAAGGAGTATGAATAATGATGCTAATTTTGATTAGTTAAATCTTGCTTAGTAAAAAATGATACATGGTAACTAGCTATGTATGTCTGAATTAAACCACAGCTGTTAAAGATGAATAATATTACCTATGCCAAGAGCCAAAATGAAGTCCTGTAATGTTTAATACATTTCCCATTCAACAGTGGCTATGTAATACTAGACACTGTAATGGAAATGTCAGTTGTGATAAACAAAGTGTTCATCCAGAATGTCAGAGGCTTATTTGAATTATTTAAGACCACGGGAGTCTAGAGCCACACCCACAGAAATCTTACTTTGTGGTGAAATGAACTACTATAAACCCTGTAGGGTTTCTCTGCATCAGCCCCAGTGGAGCTTAATTTTTGTTTCAAAGATAAAAACATCTGTATATTTTACATGCCTGGAACTTGGAAATTCACTATCCAGCCTGGAGGAATGTTTGGATACAGTCCCTTGGATAGGTCAGACAATGCTTAGCTTAATTCCTGGAAGAAAAATTTGCTCACGGGCAGTGTGTTTTAGGAAGAGATTTCCTTTTCTTTCATGCCCACACTGGATAGAACTTGTTGAATGGTTAAACATAATAAGCAATGCTCACCTCTGGGAAGCTGTATTTCTTCATTTCCTCCCCCTCCCCGCTCTGCAGTGTGCACATAGAGCTTGAGAGGTTTGTGTTTTTTGCCATGGGCTACAGATCCTTTTGGGTGGTGGATTGGGGTGTGCAGTGGTGCAATTGCATTCCCCCTCTTTGATTCCTGCTCTACCCAAACTTTAAAACTAGCTTCCTGGGAGGGGCAGCAACATCTCTATTTGGGTACCAGTGAGGGAGTCAGTTGACTTCATGGCTCATTATCAACTCCCCAAGTCATGCTGATTTTTCTTCACTCCATGTGTTCCACTATTCAAACTATTCTTTCTTCTGCAATTTTGCTCTCTGTTAGCCATTCCTGGTAATCTCTCTCCTATTTCACAGCCCTGTAGGCTGTTTTTAGTTCTAGCTAAAAGCCTACTCAGATGTAATATTAATTCAGATGTAGAAGTGTTTGATGGTGAAGTATTGGAGGCACTGTTAAGACCCTCAGGATAGCTAGCTTTTTGGTTTGTGAATCTCTATGAGACATGCATTTAACTGTGACCTAGAGGACTAATAATGCCGTATCTTTTGACTCTGTTGACTATTTTTTGTTTTGTTTGTTGTGTTTTTTAAACTTTACATGTAATGTAACAAATCGGTGCACATTCCCATAGTTATATTTGCTTTTTCTCCATTCTTAAACTGAATGATTTAGCATTAATTCCCTAGTATATTAGTAAAGCTTCTAGTTTCTCTTTAATTGGAGACAAATGTGTCCTGGTGGTATACATTATGGTGTGCCACACATTCTGCACCTCTTTTTTTAAAATCCTGGATCTGCCCATGGTTACATCTTTGGTAGTTCAAGTAGATTTATTTGAAACTTAGCCATTTCTCCCATATTTTTCTTAAAGAAATAAAGCCTAGCATGACCAAAACACAATGCTGCAGATGTAACAAAGAATTCTGCATTTGGGGCAGATTATAACAGTTCTGCTAATGTGCAACAGGTCACCTTTTAACTTTTCTTTCATTAGACAGCTATGTAAAGTTGAACCTTGTGTTCCAGATTGCTCCTGCCGAAGGACCAGATGCGAAGATGAGAATGGTTATCATCACTGGACCTCCAGAGGCTCAGTTTAAGGTAAAGTATAAAAATGTCCCTCCAGTTTGTTAATATGTAGCAGACTTGGCCTGCAGGGGAAAACCAGAATCATGAAACGTGGGATTCTGTGGAACCTTCTTATTCAGAATTTAGTGAAACTGTTTATTCTATTCCCTTCCAGCAAAATAAATATTGTACAAAGATTTGGGTAAAGAAATTCCATGCCCTGATCCCAGTAGTTATTGGGAGTTTTACACAACTTCAATGTGAGCAGAAGCAGACCTAAGAATAAATGGCACAAATAGGAGGCAAAACATCCTTCTAGTTTCCCCTGATTTCCCCTTCTCACCTAGGAGTTGTAATGGTCTTGTCTTTCCATTCTGCATTACAAATTTACTAGACAGTGTATTTTAATTACAGTAATAAAGTTGACAAGAAGTTTGATGCTCTGGGTTCCCTAGGTGACTGTCCTGTTCTAGAGCAAAACTATTTTGGGCAGCTTTTTAGATTAACAAAATGGCTGGGTTGATTCGACAACCCAGTTAAGCTGAGATGCCCCCAACCTTGATTTCCCACTTCTGTTTAAATCCAAGGATTGAGTCACTTCCCAAAGGATAATGGGTGAGGTGAGTAAGGGAAAAACGAAGACACCAACTCCGTTTCTGTTAATGAACATGAAAGTGGGCCAGAAGTCAGGAGTGATATTGGAGACAGTCATGCAGCAGCCTGATTGATTCACAAGCGAGGCCCGCAGTGGGTAGAAAAAAGTTGTTCAAGGTTTTGTAACCTGTTCTTCCTTAGTCACATCTTTTCTCAGCTTTGTACTTGTTTCTGGCAGCAGCTTGCAAATGGTAAAAGCAGTTTTCATACTATATAACATTAATTTACTGTTAAAGTTTAACTTGTGAAGAAAGATCTGGGCATATTTTTCTACAGTCGTAATGCTGTTTAGCCAGAACAGAATAGTAATCCCACATAAAAGTATTCAAAGTGGGGAGGTAAGAGGCCCCTCTGAGCCTAGCCTGGTTAAGGCATGCCAGTTTCTGTAGCCAGCAACATAACAGGGAATGTTGTGGCCAGCATCACACCCCTCTACCTTTGACTTGCCAGTCAAAGCAGGGAGGTACCAATTACAGCTGGGTCCATGGTGGGTAGCTTTTGGTGCAGATCTGGAGAGAGGCTGAAACTTGCAGCTCTGGAGCCAGAGCAAGATTCTCTACTATCTATCTTCAGATCTGAGGGATTACTGTGAGTAAAGGAGGCTCTGAAAAGTAATAGAACGTGCAACTTGGTGGCTAGCTTAAAAGCTGTACAGATAGAAACTTTGCTGCTCCAGGGTGCAGGCGATTATTAGATTTTTTCAGATCTAAAAAAATGTGCGTGGGCAATATTAGATTTTTTAAGATGTCTGTTCGGGCTTTTTCTCTAACCCAAGAACTTCCCTGAAGCTGGGGACAAAACGTAGGGTGGCTGCAAGCTGAATTCACTTTCTTCTCGGTGAGTAACTAACAGTTCAGTTCCCTGCCCCTCTCCCCCATTCAAAAAAAATTTTAGGCTTCCTTTGCCAGTTGGCTTTAGATTTTTAGTGTATAGAACAGGATACTAATAGGTTTGCATCTCACCCAAATAATAACCTAAAACAACAGACTTTGAAGTCTCCTGGCTTTGAAATAAGTACAGCTTGTGGCACTGCTATGCCTATCAATAACAAAAGCAATCCCAGTGCCTGCTATGCTTTGGAGAGGGCCATGATTTGGGGTGAGGTGGGCATGCTAGAAGGG